TATATATATATATATATTTCTCATTTTGATTTAGTTTAACTTGGTGTACTGAAATAACTACAACTAAAAAAAGTAATCTAAAAATAATAAAGACTGCATCACTGTACATGAATCCTTTAATTCAGAGATTTAAGTTGAAGTTTAGATATTAATTAGTGGCGTTTGTGAGCATCATCACTATATATATATAATGACTGTGACATTTTCCTCTTCTGCTGATGTCATCGAGGCCAAGTGGGAGGGGAAAAATAACCAATTAACCAATAATACTGCAGCTTAACATTCTCCATTCAATAAAATCCTGTTAAAGCCTCACTGCACACTCTCGGTTTCTCGTTACAGAAGTTCAGTGTAGTTTGATGTTGTTTTTAAGCAGAGTTTCTGAATCTGACGTGATGGAAATAAAAATGAGCTGCTCATTAAGAGACTCATTAGAAGATGGTCGTCTGGAAAGACAAACACTTGAATAGACGGTGGTTTGTGGCGTTTCAGATCCTCCTCTCCTCTTATTCAGCATGCAGACTGTTTACAGCTGAGTTTTATCTGGCAAATGAAAGAGCAGTCGGAGCGTTTTATCTTCTCATTATCAGGTTAAACCGAGGAGGAGAACGTGAAGAACATGAAGAAAGCAGAAACAAAAGACTCAAATACAGCAAACTGAAAGAGCAGCAAATCACGGACGGAGATGCTCAGCATCAGATTTATGAAAGATTAGAGTCACCTTGTGCCGCATCTGACGTCTGAATCATATCGACACAGGTCTGACCGGAGATGCACACTATCATACAATAAAGTCTCTTCTGCTAAGCAAGGCTGCATTTATTTGAGCAAAAATACAGTAAAAAAATTTTTTTAATTTAAAATATGTTTTCTTTGTCAATATATAGTAAAATGTAATTTATCCATGTATAAGTTGAAGCACTAAATTGACTAAAACTCAATTAAAAATAATAAAGCTATATATACTGTATATATAACCAGGGCCTAAAATGAACACTCGCCAAGCGCCAAATGCGAGTAAAAATCGGCTTTGGCGAGTATATGAAACTGTGTCAGTCGCCAGATGGCCGGTAACATTTTTATAAATTCTAACAGTGCAATGTAGTGAGAACATAAATGTGAACAAAAGTGAACGACACCCGTACAGTTGACAGTGCTGCTTCATCACAAAAGTTTAAGCCTTTGCAATGTAAATATTCAAGAGCTAGAACACACGAAAGGACACGCGTTACTCACGCGCTGTGTGGGAAGCTTAAACATCCGAAACCCCGGCCTGAAAACCGTGTCTTGAGCTCTGCTTCCTTTCTGCACTTGAACGGACAAATTCACACAAAATTATGTAAAAATGCCCGTCTTGGTGAGTATCCTAGTAAAGTAGTTGGTTCTTAAGTGAACATGAACAGCTGAGAAAGAAACCGGACAGCGCCGCAATGTGTCAAAAGACAATAGAACCCATTATAATCAGTGATATTGTCTACAGAGGATGCGGCGCGGTGCGACACGACAAATTGCAGAAAGTAAACGGATTCCCCGTTCTATTTCTGAAATAGTCTAAGCACTTTGCAATGGCCGCTTTGTCACATCCAGGGTTGACAACTTGTAGACAAAGTGTTAAAGTGATAGACATAGAATTCTAATAATCCTGCTGTTGTCTGCATTTTTAATGTTGATCAAAGAAAATAGGACAAAGAAAAAAACAATCACACAATTGAACTTTAAAAAAAAGATATAAAGTCTATAGTGTTATTTGATTGGCATAATTTATTACATTTCTGTAGACTACCTGAAACTCATTGTTAGACCTGCCTTAAATGCCCCGTTCCATTTGTATCTTTGATTTGATTTGCTCTTATTTTACAACTGACTATTTACTAGTCTTTAAAAATTTAGCATATTAAATTTATATTGGTTAAGCTAGTAGCAGGTATTGAAACTGCAATCAAGGATTGTGATTTTTTGCAATTATCTAAAATTTTGGTGTCATAACTGCCTGTTTTTTTCCGTAGCTGGTAAAACATATTTCTGGCCGGTAAATTTCCTTAAGTCACTGGCCTTTGGCAGGTCTGGCAAAAAGTTAGTTTTAGGCCCTGTATATAACTGAAAATATAAATAAAAAAGCTGACAGAAATAAATACGTTAAAGTAATAAATTGACTAAAACTGAAAAAAAAGCTAAACTGAAATACAGAAAAAAACTACAAAAGCACATGACAAAATGACAAAAAATTAAAATGAATAAAATGAATAAAAATAAAAGCTAATTAAAATAAATATATTAAGTACAAAATTTACTAAAAAACTAAAACTAAAATAAAAATAAAGCTAATTAGAAATATAAAAAATAAAAATGGCACGTAACAAAATGAATAGAAATTAAAACAACTACTGAAATATAAAAATAAAAGCTGTTTGAAATAAATAGGTTAAAGTATCAAATTTACTTAAATTAAAAATGAACCAAAAATAAAGCAAAACAGAAATATATGAAAGAACAAAAATAAAAATTCACAAAATAAAATTGACAACTGAAAATATAAAAATAAAAGCTAACTACAATAAATAGGATAAGTAATAAATTTACTAAAACTGAAACTGAAAAACAAATAAAGCTAAACAAAAAATAATAAAAAATACATAAAAATGGCACATAAAATTACTAAAAATTAAAATTAAAACGACAAATGAAAATGTAAAAATAAAAGTTAATTGAAATAAATAGGTTAACATTGAAGTAATACATTTACTAAAATAAAAAATAAAATAAAAAATAAAGGTAACATAAATATAAAAAAAATTAAAATGACAAAAGCACAAAAATGTCTAAAACTTGAAATTAAACAGTTAAATAAACAAAAAATAGCTAATTGGAAATATGAATTAATATATTAATAATAGTAAAATATTTGACATGCACGTCACTGAAGCTCTGCAATCAGACACAAGCTTCTCTATCATCAGTTCATCAAACGTTGCTTCATCACGTCATGAGGCTCGAGATCAAGCAGAAACACCTGACCTGACCATCTTCATTAAAAACATGCTGACCTTTCAGATCAGACGCGACACACAGACGACCGTGACGCAATGGTGCCCCACGCCTGAGAGAGGAGGTCCCTCCTGACGGGAATCTTCCATGAAGAGCCGTAAAGAAGGGACACCAGGTCCGAGAACCATATTAAGCCCGGCCAAAACGGGGGCCAATAGCAGTAGACGGACCACGTCCCGGCGTACTCTCTCCAGAACTCCTGGGAGCAGAGCAATTGGGGGAAAGGCGTACAGACGAAGCCTCGGCCAAGTCTGTACCATAGTGTCCAGTCTGAGAGGAGCTGGATGAGTCAGAGAGAACCAGAGGGGACAGTGCGATGTCTCCTGAGTCGCAAACAGATCCACCTGAGCCTGGCCAAAAACTCTCCAAATCTGTTTCACCACCTCGGGGTGAAGCCTCCATTCCCCGGGCCTCGGCCCCTGCCTCGACAGGACGTCTGCTCCCATATTGAGATGCCCAGGGATGTGAACTACTCTCAGTGAGAGAAGTTTCCCCTGGGACCACATAAGGATCTGGTGCACCAGCCTGTAAAGGGGCTGTGAACGCAGACCTCCCTGGTGGTTGATGTAAGAGACCACCGCTGTGTTGTCGGTGCGCACCAACACATGGCGATCTCTCAGGTCCGGGAGGAAGTGTTTCAAAGCTCGAAATACAGCCAACATCTCTAGGCAGTTGATGTGCCAAGTGAGATGGCGACCGCTCCACAGACCGCGGGCAGGGTGGCCACTCATGACCGCACCCCAACCAGTGAGGGATGCGTCCGTCGCAAGCGTTACGCGGCGACAGGGAGCTCCCAGCACCGGGCCCTGAGACAAGAACCAAGGTTTCCTCCACATGTCCAAGGCACGTAGGCATCGCCGCGTGACCTTGATCATGCAAAGCAGATTTCCCCTCGGGGAAAACCCCTTGGACTTGAGCCACCACTGTAGGGGCCTCATGTACAGCAGGCCAAAAGGTATCACGTTGGACGCAGCTGCCATCAGACCCAGCAGTCTCTGAAACTGCTTGACAGTGAGTGACCGGCCTTCTCTGACTCTCGCGACTGCAGTGAGGATCGACTCGATCCGAGCAGGAGACAAAC